GCAATCACACTTAAAAACTGAAGATACGCTAATAGGATAATTAAAGAAAATTTAAATTGGTTGGACTAGTTAATTAAATAGTTGTTAAAAAAGAAGATAAAAGAATCTTAAAAAGAATTTAATTCATTAACATCGTTAAGAAGTTTTTGTTTAAGTTTTTGTTTAAATAGAGAAAGTGAAGAACAGTTTTTCAGCTGGTTATTTAATAAAGTGTTCCATAATTTAGGACCTCTGATGGGAATAGAAAATTTAGTAGCTAAATAGTGTATTTTAGGTTGCTCGTAATTGTAATTTGAAAATCTTGTACACGAGATTAATTTTATTGAAAAATGTTTAAAAAATTATAGGAGTTAATTTATTATGTAGTTTGTACATAATTATAAGAATTTGATAAAGGTTTAACTGAAGAACATTGAGTATGTGATGATTTTTGAATAGTTCTTTAGAATGTGCGAACCGACCTGCATTTGAAATAATCCTGACAGCGTGTTTTTGTCTACTAAGCAATTTTTTAACTTTACTTACATTAGAGCTGCACCATGCAATACTTGCATAGTTTATATAACAATGTATGAGGGAGAAATATAAGATTTTTAAGCAGTTTTGGTTTAAGATTTGCTTAGCTTTGTATAGTATGCCAATATTTTTCGAAGTTTTATTTTCAATTGTTCTTATGTGTTCTTTCCATGTCATGTTTTCGTCAAGCATCACTCCTAAAAACTTTAATGATGACTCTCTAACTATTTTAGAGTTGCCAATGTAAAGATCAGGAAGTTTTAATGGAATATTTTCTTTATCTATGAAAAAAAGTATACTTAGTTTTATTTAAATTTAAGGGCAATTTGTTTGCCTTAAACCATTCCGCTAGACTTAAAAATTCCTTGTTTACTATTTTAAATAAGAGGTTGATATCTCCATTAGAATAAAATAAATTTGTATCATCTGCAAATAAAACTGAGTTTAAAATGTTTGAAAACTTATGGAAATCGTTTACATATATAAGAAACAAAAGTGGACCCAAAATTGTGCCTTGGGGAACACCGCAAGTAATAGTCAAGTATTCAGTTTTTATTTCTTCGTTTGCTATGTATTGTTTTCTATTATTTAGATAACTTTTAAGCCATTCTAAATATTTACTTTTAATACCATAACTTTCGAGTTTTTTTATAAGAATGTTATGGTCTACAGTATCAAAGGCTTTGCTAAGATCTTTAAAAACTCCTTGGGTAAACTTACTTTTATCAAATGGTTTAAATATATCGTGAACAATATTAATAATGGCATGGTCAGTTGAATACCCTGGTTGAAAACCAAATTGTTTGTTATATAGAATATTATTTATATTTAGAAAAGTCAAAATTCGTTTATACATAATTCGCTCTAAGATTTTGGAGAAGCAAGGAAGAATTGATATTGGTCTGTAATTTTATAAAGAATGTAAATACGGAACAACATTTAACAAAGAAATACACACCTTCGGCATCAAACCTTATGATTTTTAGCCAGAACTTTAACCACTGCGGCGCGGCTGCCTGTATATTTAAATCTCTGACAAAAAATTTTTTTTCAATGACGCATAAATATAACTACAAGCGTGACTTGCAGCTTTTTTGCATATAACCATAGAAGTATAAAACAGATGGAAGTTCATTGAGCCGCAAACATCAAAGCAATTTCAAGTCGTCTCGGGAGCATGCTTGTAACCGACAATAAAAAAAAACAAGTTTCACTGGATAAAAAAAACAACAAAATTCACTGAAATGATCTTTATTAAAACATTAAAAAATGAATTATTCTAGGTATGTTCTAGATATGCTCCAAATTTTTGACCATTAGTATTTGCAATTGTTCAACAAAAGGTTTATTAAAACTCGGTAATTAAATAGAACCACTTGGTTTTAAAAGCATATGTTAGTTTAAGCTTCTTTTCTTGCTTCAAGTCATAACACAACATTTGATAAAGAAGACAACTAAAACAATTTTTAAAAAATCAAAAAAATTGTTTTCTAAATAACTAAAGTTTAAAGTTTTATTAGCTGTATATAATAACTTTAATCATTCTTGTAGTACACCATTCATTTAATATGAAGTTTATAAAAAAGTTGTTGTTTGCTGTTTTGTTGCGCCATTTTTTATGTTTTTCTTGAATATTTGGCGAACCTTCATTTTTAAATTATTATAAACGTACCTATTTGCGTCAAAGTATAAAGGTTAGGCGGTAAGTACAGTCTTGATGTCTTTTTCCTATTGTTTACGAAACAAATGGTTACGAGCATAGTCCCGAAGAATTTCAATGTAGTTGAATTTCTTCGGGACTATCTGCTTTTTTCGGGACCATCTGTTTTATACTTCCATGGTATAACTTAATGAAGCCAGCGTCTGCCATTTATATTTATAGCACAGCGTCTGCCATTTATATTGAACAGTGGGCCAAGTAGTGGACAAAAGTAAAAAAATACATTATCAAAAATTACATTATTATATTACCATTTTATAGCTAAAACATTTAACTTTTCTAAAATATATACATTTTTGTATAAATATTATGACGTATGCTTCTAAGCTGTAGAATAAAAAGCTTTTTTTTTTAAAAAAATTTTCTAAATATTTTTTTTTTTCTTTTGATAGTATTTTTTATGTTACTAATAAGCATGGAATAAATGTTAACTTTAAAACCTATCTTTTTTTTCATGATTTAATAAAATCAAGTATTATTTTTCAAATGAGCTATTACAACATTATTTTGCATGTAATTTATGTGAAATAAAATGGTTTCATATGACGGGGTATTTGAAGTACTTTTTTTAGTTTTTTTTTTCATTTATATAGTCGAATACTTTTGCAGTCCAAAGCGGTACGTAATTTGAAATACATTGTTCAATATGTATATTATCAATATAAATTTGTTTTACAATCCGCGGATATCCGCCTGGGCTCTATTAATGATTTTTGCAAGTTAACCGGTGGAAAAAAAGATAGCTAGTTGACGCAAGACGTTTTTAAAAGTCTAAACCACGTATTACTACGTATTTTAACGCGTCTTTTACCCATAAGTAGCGACTAGCTAGTTGCTAGCTCATCTCCCACCGGGTAAATGATGTATCCGATATTATGTGGCGAATACATTATACGTACTTTATTCTAAATGGTTATGTAATAATTGGGTCTCAGCAAGACTAGATTTGTGTTGCAAACTTTTTATTAATTATACATTCTAAAATACCTATTTGTAAAATTTCGTAAACAAAATTTATATTCTTATATAGTTAAAACATGAAAAGTATTGATATTTATTCATATATAATACAAGAAAACATGAAGTTAGCTAATCCTAATATTTTATATACACAAAAAGGTTAAATCTCAGGGTTTCTTTTTATATGGATTGTATGGTAGTTTCATGAAATATAAAATAGAGCCTTGAAACTGAATAAAAATACTTAAAAATAGTAGTAAATAGTTAATAACATTGACGAATTGGGAAAACCTTTTTTATAAGAGAAACTTATTTTTAAGTAAAGTAAAAAGAAAGCGATGCTCCAGAAGTTTTTTTTTTTTGTCCAAAAAATTTAACGCAATATCCTATGCGCATGCACGAAACTTTACAAAGCTGCTTTGTAGCATGAAATGGTAAATTAGGATGGTTTCGAGTAATTTTTGGCTTTTCTGAGGGAAGACTCTAAAGTTAAATGAAATCATCTAGTTACCTTAATCCTAACCAGCCCCACCCTCCCTTAATAATCACGGTGGTAGTGGAGCACTGGTTGCCTATGATGGCATAGTGCTTTTTTTTAAAATAGGAATAACTTGTATTAAAAAAAAAAAAAAAAACTGATGAAAACTCTGAGGGTAATTATTGTTTTACATGTAACAAGGAATGTATCCATATCAAAACCTTTACTATTGGTCTTCAGGATACTGATTAATGAAGCTTCAAAGTTAAGTATGGCGCCTTTTTTCCTATATTACAAATGCAAGTATTAGATATTAAAATAAACCGTATAACAAATTATTATTAGACTTAAAACATGAAATACAACTTTAGTATTAAACTTATAATACCATAACATTTTTAGCATTTTATTTCAATTATCTTCGTAATTATTATAAATATTTCATCATTATCCAACTAAAGCTCCATAATTTTAAAAGTAGATATCTCATTCATGAAAAATAGTTTCGAAAAAAGTCATTTAAAAGCTGAAAAATGGCCTTAAATACAGAAAATGCAGTTTTCTAACTGACAGTCCCTCAGTCTTCTAACTGACAGTCCCTCAGTCTTCTAACTGACAGTCCCTCAGTCTTCTTACTGACAGTCCCTCAGTCTTCTAACTGACAGTCCCTCAGTCTTCTTACTGACAGTCCGTCAGTCTTCTAACTGACAGTCCGTCAGTCTTCTAACTGACAGTCCCTTAGTCTTCTAACTGACAGTCCCTCAGTCTACTAACTGACAGTCCCTCAGTCTTCTAACTGACAGTCCCTCAGTCTTCTAACTGACAGTCCCTCAGTCTTCTAACTGACAGTCCCTCAGTCTTCTAACTGACAGTCCCTCAGTCTTCTAACTGACAGTCCCTCAGTCTTCTAACTGACAGTCCCTCAGTCTTCTAACTGACAGTCCCTCAGTCTTCTAACTGACAGTCCCTCAGTCTTCTAACTGACAGGGAACTGTTTTCAAGAATTCTCAAGATTCTTTTTATACCATAAACTTTTATAAGCAGACGTCATTGAAGTGTCAATGTTCGCAACATTTTCAAGACTAAAGCTTTTAATATTAAAACTATATCACATTTGATGAATATAAAACGATTTATATACCTCGTTGGCTATACAAAAAGTTGCTATAGTTCCCTATAACTAATACTAAAATTATAATATAAAATTTCATACATTATTTTCACGACCTTCAAAACTTAATCAAGTTAAAACGTAAACAAGACATAAGAGTTTAACAAAACCCGTTGTGAAAAACCCAATTTCGTTTATAAAAAGAGGTTTAGAAGTATAATAATTAAAATTTATTTTTTTCCCTTTTTCATGAAGTACTTTTCTGTGTTCGGATGTCGTTTTGAACGGTAATCTTCATCAGACTGCAAACGTTGATTAACATCATTCTTAAAAGTCGATTCAAACATTCCTTGAAGATTTGAATTCTCGATATCCTCTTCCAACACTAAAATATAAAAGAAAACAATTTTAATAATTTTATTAATTTTTAATCTGAAAAACTTTAAATATATCTTAAAAAAGTTAAATATCAGCAACTCAATAAGAGTACAATTTTTTTAACTTTTAAAGCGGTTATTTTCAAGCCTGGTTCATAAACTTCAAAATGAAAAACTACCGTAATTTTCAAATTCAGAAAAAATAAAAAAACAACCGTAAACTTCGATGGACCGTTCACTCAATAAAAAATAACCGCAATGCATTTTGGATTTTGTATGCACCGAAAATAAACAAATATTATCATGCCAGAAATAAATAAATAAACAGTAGATAACTATGAAAGTCATTTGGAGCTTGATTTAAATGTTATTGATGACGATCCATGTTTTTTTAAGGAGATATTTTGTATGCTAAATGTAATTGTAAAGCTTGTATGGGAGTATGCTGCAAGCATGTTGCTGCAGTATTATTTCAATTAAATGAATATAAATAATTAAATTTAAACTCTGTACCACTCGATAAAGCATGCACAGAAATTTTACAGCAATGGAATGTTCCTGCTAAAGGAAAAAATTCAGATCCATTTAAGCTCTCTAAGGTTTACTTTGAAAAGAATGATTTAGAAAAAGATTCCGACTATTCACGAAAACACTCTTTTATATCAAGAAATAGAGACTTTTGTGCAACCCTAATTTTCGCACATACGGGAAACCGGGGTTAGTTGAAACATTGAACTTTTGTGTCGACTAACGAGCAGTTAATTATTACAAACAAGAAACGTTTTAAGAACTAAAATACTATTTGTTGTTGAATAAAACAAATTTCGAAAATTATATTGTTGTTCAAGATTTTAGAGAATTGTACACATGAAACTGTTTGTGATTTTTGTATTATCAATTGTAACCTTGTATTATAAAAAATAATAAAATAGCTTGATAACATCTAAGTAGTATTTTTTGTGGGCTTTCTTTTAATGTGCTTTTTATAGAGTTTTTTGCATGGAATACCTTGATTAAATCGTTTAAGAATGCACTAGTTAAATGGGGATTTGTTGGAACGTTTTTGTTTTAAGGCATCAATTATATTCCTTCTATTATCGCTCATAGATTATTTTTGTTATTTTATAATTATCCATACTGGCATACTAAATTAGAGTTTAAATCAAGGATCTTATTATTTAGCATTTATTTAAATCTTGCTACCACACGTCGCACAGTGACCCAGATTAACCTAAAAATGACAAAAAGTCCGAAAAAAAAAGTGAAAGTTTTATCGTTTTTAGACTTAAAATGTTAAAGTAAACTACTTTTTGGTCTGAAATCAACTTTAAATAATTTCACAGATATTATTATTGTGTAATTTTAAATGGATATATGTGTAAAAAGTTAAATTTAACACCATAAAATTATGAAAATTTAAGGCATGGTTATCTTGTAAGCAACCATGTTTTCCACCTCCATACAAAACTTTATTTGTGTTAAAGTAATGAGTGGTTAGATATTAAATTTTGTTTGCTTTTTTTTTTTTAAATTAAAAAAACAAGTTCTTTTTAACTTTTCTTTTAAAAATTAAAACACTTACTGCTCCTTAAGGAGATATTTTAAAGTGATTCATGCATAGTTTTGTCAAATGCAACACCCGCCCCTCCCTTTTCGATTTAAAAACAGTTTTCGGACGTTTGTGTAATAATATACAATCTATTATTTACCTTTTATTTTGAAAATTAAAGTCTAATCATAATATAATTTAATAAAATTATAATATAATTTGGTAAAGAAAAAATTAAACTATAAAAGTAAAATGAAAAGGTTGGATCTGTTTTTAAAAATTCGCGAATCTGAAGCAAATAACAAAGCACTTCCTGAAATAGTTATCGAATTTATCAAAAAATCCGAAATAATTCCAAAAAATAAACTTGGTGAACTAAAAATCTGTACAATTCTAAAATTTATTTAGAATTGTACAGATTTTTATTTCGAAAGTGAAAAATAAGCTTAAAAAATATTGAAGAAACTATGAAAAGTTTTTAAAGACTTTTGTAAAAATTCTAAAAGTTCTAGCTGACATTTTTGTAGATCTCTTCATCTGCAATATAAAAAAGAGACATCAGAGTTGTGCAAAAAAGAAGAAAATGATCTTCAAGCTCAAATGAATCAGTTAAAACCCTTCTCAACAGATTTGAATATTGCTGGTACAGTAATAACTATAAAGGTTACTTTTAAAATTGATATGACCATGTTTGATGGAAAAGTAATAAATTCATTGACTGACACTAAGTCAACTCAGTCTTGTAATGTGTGTGGTAAGCCCAAAGAAATGAATGATATAGATTTAATTAAAAAAAAAGCCTGCTAATGAGAAAGCCCTTAAACTAGGTATTTCAAATTTGCACTTTTGGATAAGATCTTTTGAATTCATCTTATATTTAGGTTATAAAATGAAAATCCAGAAGTTTTAAGCCAGAACTGAAAAAGAGAAGCTTACTGTAAATTTAAAGAAGAATTTTATCAAATCAATGTTCAGAGAAAAGTTGCGTCTCATTGTTGACCAACCCAAAGTAGGCTTTGGTAATAGCAATGATGGAAATACTTCAAGAAGAGCATTTGAGAACTCTGCGATTTTCTCTGAAATAACAGGGGTCGATATGGAAGTTATAAAGAGAATGCACATTGTCCTTAATACAATATCCTCTGGGTACCATATTGATAGTAATCAATTTGAAGTTTATTGTACTGATACAGCTAAACTTATAGTTAATAAATATGGTTGGTATATAATGCCACCCAGTGTTCACGAAATTCTGATACATGGTTGCTCCATTTCAAAGCAATTTGATTTGCCTATTGCCCAATACTCTGAGGAAGATCAAGAAAATCTAAACAAGCAAATCCGAAATGTAAGGTTGCATCATACAACAAAAATATCAAGAATTAACACAATGAAAGATCAGATGCACTACCTTTTGATTAGATTGGATCCAAAAATCTCAAGCCTCTCATTTGTAAAATACAGGATTTATCAAGGCAAAACTTTGCCTCCAGGAGTAGTGAACTTATTAGTAATTTAAATTGTAAAAAAATTTTAATATTGTGACTTGTTTATTTTTGTATTATAGATTGCGTTAAAGACTCATAACGCATTTTGTTACGCGTCTGCGCGCATTTAGTAAATTCGCGCGCATTGAATGCGCATGTCCGAGCCTTTGTGTAATAATAAAATAATGGTATAATTTGGGTCAAGGAAGCTAAGTTTTTTACTAAAAATGGTATTTACAAATACAAAGTCCTCTAACGCAGGTTTTCACGCATACATGTGCATTATACGGGTAATAAGTGCATGTGAAAATATTTTAGGTTGCTAATTTGAATTCTCTGACCCAAAAACCCCTACTTTGATGCATAGTGTAAGCTTAATGAACATGTTATTAATAGTTAGGTAATTTTTGCTGCTTTTAACTTAATCTGGGTCACTGTGTGTTGTTGACAGCGGCTTGTTCTTTATTATTTTTCACACAAGCCTTTGGTTGCGGCTTTTTAATATCAATAGAATTCTTAAAAACAATGGTTTTCAACTCTTTATAAATCTATGTTCAAAATGTTGTGCTTTTAAAATTTAAACATTTTATAAGTTCTTTCAGTTAGTTTTCAAAGAGGTTTGTTGTTTAAATTTAAATTACTTTTTCAATATATGATTCTAATTTTTTTTGAAAACTATTTGCGGTCACGGCTTTTAGAAACTTTGTAAAATTGCAGTAGTGAAAGAGTTATCGGCATTTATAAATTATTTTGAGAATGCGTTATTATAAACGAAAGACACCAGGTATGATATCAAGTGATACTATGCTAGTGCTGTCAAAAGAGTAGTTGAAAATGGAGAGAAATGCCTAGGAGTTGCAGCAGACTATGGCATTCCTGATGCGACACTCAGAAGATACTGCATCAAATTCAAAGCAATGCCAAGCACCCTGACCAGCTTAACTGTGGGTACCACAGCAACAAAAATGTTTTTACAATGGAATAAGAGAATGCGCTTAGGAAGTACATATTAGAGGCTTCACGTGTATACTATGGCCTCATTCCTGCAGAAGTGCAAAAGTTTGTTTACAATTACCCGAAAAAAACTAAATGCAAAACTCCTCTTTCATGGGAAAAGAACAAGCGTGCTGGTGCAGAGTGGTTTTCTTCATTTCTAAAAAGAAAACCAGAGCTTGCAATAAGAACCCCCAAAGCTACATCGATAGAAAAAAATGCAGACTGGTTTTGAAAAGATGTAGGCATTTTAATAAATAGTTCAATGCAGTCTAAAATTATCCTTGTCAATTCTTATTTTTCCTAAGAACATTTTGGCATATTTTTTTTTTACAATTTGTTTTGTTGCCCAATTCAGTAGCATACGCATTTGAAAATGCAAAAAGTCATTCCATTTTACTATGATTCTACTTATATGACCTGAGGATATGTCAAAGCATAACACCATGTCTTCAACTAAAAGAGCAAGTTGAAATCTTTTTAGAACTAAAAATAATTGAGACTCTGAACTCATTATATGCTCTCTTCCTATTTATTGTAGACTGATTCCATTGTTACGTGAGTTACTTTTGAACAATAGTTAAACTCATAAACGAATGGTTTATACTTCAGCATAATGCTTTACGAAATTGCAATTTATCACAAAATATTATTTAAACCATACAAAAAAAATATTCAAAAACTTGTTCTAAAAAGTTGAACATTTCTTATCTCAAATTATAAATCAAAAATCGTTACGTGCGTTATTTGCACACATCTAAAATTTTAATAAGTAAATTTTGACAAGTCTTATCTGTGAATTGGTTGAATATTGAAAAACCAAAATGTGCAACTTGTTATTAATGATGGCGCTTAGCAAAACCATAAAGTGGATTTGAGGAAAAGACTTTAATAGCGGATTAAATTAACAATTTGTCATTGTTAAAAAGAGTAACGCTAGATCTGCTCCACATGATTGGATTTCAGATTAATATTCGCATGAATATGACATTGCAAAACCTATTTGCAAGATTCTGGAGGTACATTTTGTTTTGTCTTCAGAAAATTTTTTATCTTGGATTCTTTTCACCTGCACATGCTTTACAACCTTTTCAAAACCCTCCTGAATGACACCAATAAGTTCTCCAACAGCACCCTGCTGCTGAATCTTGCGCAGTCGCTTCTTGGATTTAGCAATATTGTCACATTTGACTTTGTTACCGTAGATTTCATAGTTTCCTTTTTTTTTAGCTTTTTTTTAGATCTTCCTTTTTCTTTTTTATTCTAAACTTTTTTAATTCTTTCTGCAGTCAAGGCCTGTAGTTTCTCTGCTTCCATCAAAATTCAAAAAGAAAACAAATTAAGACGACAAAATAAAAAACTGAACTGCGTTGAGACTTGCGCTTCCAACTGTAAGTTGAATGATTGTAAATCTGTGAACCTACGTCAGTTAAAATATTTGCAAATGCAACTAGAAAGTAAATAAATGCACATGTAATTAAGGAATATCTTTATAAATACATTGCCTACATGCTCGCTTAATTCAAATGCTGAGAAAACTTAGAGGCAATTAAAATCAAAGCCACATGATATCAAGTGTAAATGAAGATCTAGTTAAACTTGTTTATAATATTAAGTCATGATATTAAAAACAATGTGCTTGTGGTGCAGCATTAAAAAATTTGCATTTTTTTTACGCGTGTTACCACTTATTGACTTACTAGGAATCACGTTATTATTTTTAAAGATGAAACAGCTGACTGTCGTCTTATTTTACTTAAATGCTATCACATGTGTGTTGGTAAATATTTCTTGAGAAAATAATCACTCAACATATCTAGCACTTTTATTAACACAAATCGAAAAGATTAGTGTTCATTTAAGTAAAACTTATATTTTCCCACACTTGCAGGTCTTCTGTATTAAAAAAAATATCAGGGAAATCATAATACGTCAGCACCTATATTTTATGAAAATTTAGTATGCTTTGTACAAAAAATAAAATACTATATTTCATTTTCTGTGCATTATAAAAAATGTGAATTTGGTTTACCTTTCGTGAAATCAGTCTGTAGTCAAAATCTTTTGTTTTTGTATTTAACCCCCAATATACAAGTTTGCTTACAGCAGGTTCTAAATATTCTAATAGAACTTTAAATAGGTTATATGATTTGAAACCAGTATAAACTTTAAAGTGTGCTTAGTTATGTTTAAATTTGTCAACTGTAAATATTAATTGATTGGTAGTGCGAATTTGGTTTATAATAATTTTTTTCATTTCTTTCTTTTAGTTTTTATTTCAGTTAGTCCTCATTTATTTATGAGAATTTCTTTTTTTAACTTTTCAGCCTCGGTTTCTTATCTCCTTCTTTTCTCCTCACTGTCATATTAATAAATTATATAATAAATAAACCACTAAACCGGTAGAGAAATGTTTTGCTGGCTCAACAAACCAGGTAAAATGTTGTTGAAAAACATTTAATGATTGACTGAATTATAAAAGATAAAATGAAACACAAGATGAAAAGAACTAGCGAAAAAAAAATTAAGAGTTAAATTCTAAAAAGACAGTAAATTTGAAGCTTCTTGGCATGCCGAAAGTGACAGTCTACCAAACTTTGACAACTTTATATCTCCTACAATAAGAAGGTAGATTTCAGAGGACGTATAATTTAGCCTTTAGCTAAGATTTTATGAAATCCAATACAACTGGATCTTGATCATGACAAGATATGTTATTGGTATTAGACCAAGGCCTTTTTGTATGATCACTCTTTATTATGCTGGTGGTATTGACCTTGAGGAAATAAAGATCTCAAAAATTGTCCATAAATTATAACATGCTTAGGAGGGGGTGTGGATAAGGGTAGGCGATTTTGTGACAATTTGTACCCCCTCCCATCCTTTCTAAAAATACTTTGAATAAAAATGTGTAAGGTGGGGGGGGGGGGAACACATACTGTAGCAGAATCAAAAGGCTTGATCATTTAGAAGCAGAACTTAGAAAAAATAAGAGGCTAGTGATTCACTTTGACATTATGATTGTAGACAGTACATCAGTAAAGCATTAATTTTCACAAGCCATAAAAGGCTTGCCATAGGTGTCTCTTTCCCTAAAACTATTTGAACTTTCTGCTTGGTATTTTGAAGATTAAAAGCTTGTGAAGGAAGTGACCAGTCTACTGCAATTCAAATTATTCTTGTATACTATGAGCTGTTAGATCAGATAATTAGGGTATGTTCTGACACCACAGCTAGTAACATAGGAAAAAAAAAAAAAAGCCATTATGAACTTTGTTGTTTACGCTTCAAGAAGGTTCTCTGGCTGACTCTGGCACATACAAGAGGCATGTGTCTTATGTCATAAAACTTATTTTTTGTATGTTTCACTACAGCAACTGTGGCAACAATTACATCAAGAAGATAATAAATTTGAAAGCAATTTTCAAACTTGAATGCTTTTAAGCCATATAGTCTTTGCATGATATTGCAGTAGAAACTTAAGAATTCTGCATCACACCAGAAGAACCCTGCGCCACAACCAATCAGAAAAACACTTTTCAAAGAAGAGATTACAAGAATATTCGCCTGCTACTTCCTAGGTGCACATAAACTTAATTTCTCTTCCAAATATTATATAACTTTAAAGTCTACGCAGAGTTTGGGTAGATTTTTAACCAAATCTTTTTATGCCACATTTTGTATCCCCACAGCTTGTGATTTTGACTAATTGAGTTTTCAAAAATGATATCAAAATCCTAAACATATTCCTGTCTTTTGCAGTTCCAGACAAAAAAACAATGATCAAGAAGCTTAGCTCATATTTTACTTAGTACCTCTTACTTACCCATTACCTAAGTAATAAATAAGTGCTTTAGCTTAATTTTAATTTTGCTATTCAAATATTACATTTTTAATAGTTACAGAATGTCTTTTAATAATTTACAGAATGTCTTATCATAATAAAGTAAAGTTTATATACAATGTGAAAATTAATTATGCTAAAAATGATCACAATAAACATAACTTAAAAACTAAGCAAACTATGCAAATTATGCTATTATTATTAATACTTATAGCCAAGGTGAATTTAAAAAAAAGCTAATCAAATTTTAAATTGAATCAAAATTGTTTGAATTAAATGAGCTATAGATTTACTCACATTTTGAATCTTTATCTACACCAACTTTGTCCATTGCTTTTTTTAAAGAAGCTTTTATGTCTATGCGATCAGCTTCTGTTCCATGCTGAGTCATTTGCTTAATTTGTAAAAAATTCAAATGCTTTATTATTCATAAATACATTTGTAAATATTATAAATATGACAATAAATACAATAAATATATAATAATATATTCACATTATAATCAAAATAAAATTACATTTTAGTCAAGAAAATTAATGAAAGAAAACTAGGGTTTCTGAAAAACAGTGGCCTTTAAAAAACAGTTGCTTTTTTCATATTTAATAAAATTTTATGTTTTACATTTTCCTTTATATAATCTTTTTTAGCACTTATAATTAATTAAATTTTTTTATAATTTAATTTTTTTAGCACTTATAACATAATTAAAATAATATTTTACCACTCTATATTGGCACTTTAACATTGTTACAAAATAATTATAAATTAAAAAAAATTATAATCAAAATTGCATCAATAAGAGCTTTTTTCTGAACTCTCAAAACCTGTGTTTTGAGAGATTAAGTTCAGCCTATAACCACTTAAAATTGTTAAGTTTCTACTGTTGGTGATTAGCTAGAGCAATATAACTGATGCAACTAAATTTTCTTGAATAGTAAAATTGCACTTGGAGAATTTAGAATTTGGAATTTAGAATTGATAATTTGGAATTTAGTATTAGCAGTTTCAATAAATTTGTAAATAATTTTTACAACAAAATATTTTTATTATTAACTAAAATCTAAATCAACATTTGAATGTTGCATTACATGTTCTGTTTGTTGCATTACATGTTCTGTTTTTATCAATGATGAAGCATAGATAAAGAAATAAAGGTTGGTCATTGAAATATAACTCCTTGTCTAAACAGAGTCTTGACTTTAGATTGAAAAACATTATTTTGAACAGTTGAAAACTTGATGTACTTAATAAACCAGCAAGAGTTCTTGCATAAATGGTATGTAATATTTATTAATTCAATGTAATATATAATGCATTCGCATGTAATATATAATATAAATTATAAGTATTTTATTAAAAATATTAATATCTTCAAAATCATCAAAAGTATTTTTTGTCATGATCATCATATCACATGGGAGATTCAGGTTTTCAGCTTTAGACTTTTTTCTTATAAATAATAACGAATAAACCAAAATGCTTTTTTTATAAGATGGCCAAACCAAGATGCTGCTTATCTGCTTTTTGTAATAAAGAAGTCAATTATATAAATGAAAAACGCAAGAAAATTTGTTATCTTCACCAGCTGAAAGAATTTGAAGTTGCAGATATGATGGAATTTAAAGGTATTTGCTCTTAAATGTAAATTTCATAAATGATTAATAATTTAAAAATATTTTATTTAACAAGATACAAATAATTGTTAAATTGGTTGACCAATTCTCATATCTTAAGCCATATCTCATTTATATGTTTTGTTCTTAAAAAAAAAATAAATAAATAAGAAATCAATCAAACAGGCTAGTACTAGAAAGTTTGTTATTTTAAAGGTTCTATTTTCACCAATCTAGTGCTAAAGGTTTCTTAAGAGTTTTTTAAGCTTCAGATAATCATAAGAGAGAAAAAGTGTCCAAGATATAGACAACAAAATGTTGACTTGGTATCTCCATATACCTATGATATCTCCAGTTAAGAAATAATAATGGCTTAAGATAATAAGAAATAATAATGGTTTCAAATAAAAATGAATAGCTTAAATTTTATATACAAAAAAACAACAATTTTTAACTAAAAATTGAAAAGGTTGTGTTTTATGACATTTTGTTTGCAATATTTTTTTTTTTAAAAAGGTCTCTGTTGAAAAGAATTTTAAAATCATTATAAAATTCTGGTTTTTTTGAGACCCAGGTTGATATACTTTTGAAGAAGAAAAAAAATTCACTGGATATATGGGAGCCAATGTGTAATCAAGGGTCATGGTGGGTGACCTTTTTCAAAAAGTAAATAAACCAATGACTTAGTTACTTTCAAACCAAAGTTCCTCTGTTTTTAATACAGGAAACCAGAGGTATAAAAAATTTACCAAAAAGTCAACACCCTAATAGATAATGATTAGGGCAACTTATAGCATTAATATGTTGAATATACTTTTTAATTGAAGCTCATATTTAACTATTTTAACCATATTGAAAGAACTAAATGAATCAAAAATTAAAATTGTGTTATATACATATTATCATTATTATCATGATGACTCAAAAGTAATTTAGTCAACTTAAAATACCTTTGTCAACTTAAAGAAACTTTGTCAACTTAAAATAGTAACAATCAATAGTCTAATTCTTTTAGTAATATTTAATTTAGTTGTATCAACAACTTTTGTCCACTCTTCCATTATGCAAAAGTTTCATTACATTACTTTCATATGAAAGTAGTATAAATTTATGTTAAAGTAATAACCAACAAATAATTAATTCTGGTAAAAGCACAAAATAGCTCTCAAATCTAAACTTTTGTCCAACAGTCAAAAGGTTGCATTTCTTTCTCTTTTCAACATATAGTATCAAGTTCTGTGATCAAATGAGACAACCATCATTTATTCCACGAACTAAAATTTCTCATGATTTGCGATTCAGCTAAAGTGTATCCTTTTACTGTAACTGCTCTTTCATACTAAAAAACTTTTATCTAATTTTTTTCCTTGAACAGCGGCGCATTGAAATTCTATTCCCCCTTCATGTTTTCCTGGATCATAAAACTTTAATATGCAAACTTCCCCTATAGTTTTTTAAGTTTTCTGTCAATTGCTTTCTTGCTCATGAACTCTTTTTTTTTATTTTCTGTTAACTTGCAACTTCATTTACGGTTGCTTGCAGCCTTGTTATAAATTTGTTAAAAAAAAAATTTATTAAGTTACAACAGAAGTAAAAATACAAAAATGTTTGTTGTCAAATAATAATTAATAATTGTGGTGCTCATAATTCAACTTTCACTAAGGAGATATATGAGCTGTTGCATATCTGTTGAGGCTTTTTTTCTAGCTAGTAATGAACAGAGAGTAGACTAAAGAATCTGTCAAGTTGCTCCGTATGTTATTGCAATTGTTAAAGAAGTTGAAACAAGCTAAATTGTTATTCAATTTTTCTCAGTAAAATTTCTCTGTGTTATAAACACTGCTCAATAAATTTTTCATCTTTTATTAAATGAGAGATCCAAGGTGGAGTTGCTCCATTTTGGATCTTTTATTTGATAAAACCCTAATTTAAATCAGAAACCCTACTTAAAATAAAAACTTACATATAAAACTTATTGTAACATTACTAAAAACAAAAAATTAAAATATATATGTACTGCTCTACGTTTCGAAGGTAACCCATTTAAGTATGCATCACTATAAGGCCGCTGAGGAGGCAATTTCCGTTGAAGCTCTACATCACGGCTAATTACACTAACCCAATCCTAATAAGAAAATATCAGTAAAAAAGAAATTTTAAATCATTTTAAATAAAAATAATAATAAAAATAAATAAACACTAACATTAGGAAATTGTGAGTGCCAGTCTTCAGGTGATGGAGGACTGTCAACTTCTGGATCACTTTCGCTACTTTGTGCACCATTATTCATTTCTTCCCAAATTTTATCAACATCAACAGTTTCATTTTTGCGTACACGCTTTGCAGCTCTTTCACTATCACCACCTTTGCAAGGATTCTGAAAATAATAAAATTTAAAGATTAAAAAAAATTGAAATTTAACAATAAACACAAAACAACATTATCTTAAAAGTTGCAAAGTTATAAACAAAAAATTTTTTTTGATTAGAAGTTGTTTTGAATCATTACTTTTAGAAGCTCAAAAATGATTGGAAAATATCGCACCTTCAAACTATTGTGGTTATATAAAAAAACTTAAATACATAAAATATAATATTTTATATTGACATATTTAAAAAATAAAAAAAAGAACTGCTGCTAAACAATTTTTTACCATTTACTTATTTAACCCCAAAAATAAAAAGCAAAATATTTGTAAATCAAAAATTCCATAATCATTCCCTCGAGTTCATTTTGAGTTATTTTTTGGAAATTTAATATCAATTTAAAATATACATAGTATTTGTAGATCACTGCCACAATAAAGAATAACATTATATTAGATAGTTCAGTAAAACATAATATCAAACAAAATATCAAATTGTTCAGTAAAATTATTTCTTTCAATGGAGAGATTTCTAATGACAATAAATTTCTACCATCATATGTCAGTGATCACAAAGTTAATAACTAAATAATTCAAATGCATTTTTAAATGAAAAAAATTCAAAAATAGAAATAAAAAGAATAAAGAAAAAAATATATAAAAAATTGAAAAAAAAAAAAAATTTATTTAGAATATTTTGTGGGCTTTAAGACTCTGACAGAGGGTTTAGGTAGGTATATTCTTGACATAAAAGTATTTTTAGGATTATGCTGAGTCATTTGCTAAAATTATAAAAAGTCATGTTTAGATTTTAGACAAACATTTTTTGAGTGTTTTAGCTGGGTTTTCAACAATGCAAAGTTTGATTTTATATATTGGAGTTTTTATTTTCATATTTTTAGGGCATATTGATTACAAAAAAGTGTATTACAGCAAACCTAACAGAAAGTGATGAAACACTTCTCAATTGATGATGTGACCATTGATGGTGTTTTTATGATAATTTTAAACTAATCAGACATGGTTAAACTAATTAGAAAAATATCTTCTTTATGATTGTAAACATTTTAAAGTATATATTACTTGTCTTAATGAATGTAAGTTATGTTAAATAAAACTACCTCAAGGTATATGATGATGATGAACAATTAATTTCCCGGAAAAAAACTGAAAAATCAAAAACATTTGTAACTTCAGTTAGTTTTTTTTTAAGGTCATGCATGATTGAAGTTTAAACTTTTAGTATAACTGGATGATACATAGTGGAACACTTTAATACCCATCAATCTTATATTTTCAGAGAAACTAAAGTTATGCTTTTTTCTGTTTTATTACAAAATTGTTTGATTACCGTACTTTGTATGAAAACGTGTGCTCATTGATGTTATTAAGGTTTTTAATTAGAAAAATATTTTTATGGCTGTAAGTTTGTTTCATTTATTGAGTAAATTTAATGTACTAATGTGGTATTTTTCCATCAAGCATAAATTGAAAAATTTACTATCAGGTTTGAATGGCTACTCTTGATTAAGAATATTCCATTTTAGATTAGGCTCTAAACCCTTAATTTTTGCATTTCAATACAAATTTCAAAAGTTCAGTGAAGTTGGTTTTACTTTTATAAAGAAAAGAGTTTTTAAGTTTATACAACCTGTCTTTGAAAGTTTTCTCAGTAAACCCAATGTAATTTTCTTGGTAATGAATTATTATGTTACAGATATAAATAAGGTTTTTTTGCAGGTGTTCAGCAATTGCATAACTAATTGGTATATTTATGTTACAAATTATTATGTTACAAATATAAATAAGGTTTTTTTGCAAAGCATTTTCTATTGAGTGGGCATAAGGTGGTCAGCAATTGCATGATTTTGCATTGGATAGTATAATTTTATTATGAGAAGTAATAATTAAAAATTGAAATTGAATTCGGATGTTGAATGAATAAGGAGTGTTAAACCAGATAATGTTTCTTATTTGAGATCTTGTATTATATTTTGGGATTTTTTAAAATGAAATCGAACTTTTCTTTTATTCGGAAAAAATTGAAATCATTATTATAAAATGATGTGGCTTTAAGCTTCATTGTTTGAAGACATATAACTGATCTTTATGGTATCAATTTAATGATACTTGGTAGATGATTGGTTATTAAAGATAATCACCTG